AAAAAATTTACAAAAAGGTTGTAAATGTACGAGTATGTTTTATCAAATCAATTTTGATTATATTTGCTGAGTTTTTATAAAAAAAAAAATAATAGTTGAAAATCTCATAAGTCAAATATGTTTTTACTTATAGRTACGATTAAAAAAAAAAAAATGATTGTATATAATTGAAGATTATAATAACTCGTGTTGTATTTAAATACAATAAGTTAAAAATAGGATTGATTACAATAATTATTCAATGAGATGAGAAAAGGAACTATAATCTAAATAAGTCTGTATAACACTTTATAATACTATTCCGATTTTTTTTTTAAATTTATTTMAATTTTGTAAAAAAATTATTTTGGACAATTGATAAAAACTTTTCTGATGTTATATCAAGTTTAAGGGGAYTTAATTCACGACTTCACCTTTATGTGAATTACATACAAAAATGAGATATCAAAGTTTTTGACTACGAGATTTACGAAAAGGCCATTATACTATAAAAGGAACATAGAAAGTATGTCGGTTTTATTATTTCTGCATGTCGACCTAACCGCCGTTGAAAAGGTTGACAGTATGAATGAAAAGTTCAACGATCAAAAATGTAATATACTTTCMTTTGGTATTCAGGAATATTTTTCTTTTCACTGTTGTTCGTTGCACGATAAAGTGTATTCCTAAGTATTACAGTTAAATATGTTAACGCTCTGTTTATGAATCATTTAATATACCATTAATGTATGTATGTATGTATACATACATATAATATACGTTTTCATAATTATTACATTATGTACAAACCCCGCGTGGGCGTGAATCATTACATTATAATTTATAAAAACAAATATTTCTACGTAAAATTATTATATTTCTGGGTAATTTTTTAATAACAAAAATATATTATGTATATTTTATAAAAACAAATATTTCTACGTAAAATTATTATATTTCTGGGTAATTTTTTAATAACAAAAATATATTATGTATATGGTATATGCATATACATATATATACATCATATAAATGTAATTTTTGTAATATTTATCGTTAATCATGATTTTTTATTATTACGTTTAATTCTAAGATAACAATTGCACGTTATGTGTGATTTGATATATTAAATTTTCCTTATATGTA